CAGACGAGGATTGAAACTGGTTCCCGATTTTTCTGGTTGAACTGGTCGGTCCGATTCGATTTTTAAAACATTGATGAAAACAAAGCAACTCCTTATATCTTTAAGATTTTCTAAGGATCTTGCTCCTGGGCTTTTCTCCCTTGAACTAGATTTAAATGGGAGACAGATTGTCTCAATTTGAGCCTCATTTTTTGAAAAAATACATTTTTCAACAGTGCTTAGACATCATTTCAACCAAATATTTTTTAATAAAATAATATTACATGTAACTTTAAAAAATTTTCTTATTTTTTGACCACACATTTCTTATCAATACATTATTCAAAAATTCATTCTTATGAAAAGAATGGAGCTCAAACAAGGACAGTATATTATAACATGGATAGGATTGAACAGTACTGGACCAATGGAGCTTAGAATGGCCATATTTTCAGTTTAGTACCTGAATTATATTTATAACTTTGTGATGAAGATAACTTTATTTCACATATTCGCTTTTGTTGAAATATTATCCTTCAAGGAAACGAAGACAATAAAAAGAAAGAATCAAGATCGTTAAAAATGGTATAAAGGCTCAAACACGAATCGTTGTCCTCAAATAATATTTGTCCCTCCCAAATTGAATTTGATGGTTAAGGGGCTCTTGGCAAAGGTTTGTAGGATGGGAAAAAAATGGAAATTTTCATCCAAAAGGACACCAGGCTTCAAATTGAAAAATCAGCCAACGGTTATTTTTTAACCCTATGAATACGCATAATATAATCCATGCGTAAACATGGTAGAAGCATTTTAGCCTTAGTTTTTGCATAAACATGCCATGTGTACTCATGACAAAAAGGCCCATATTTACGCATTGGCAAAATTACTTCCACCCATTTTATTCATTCCATTTCATTAGGCAATCCTTTGATTATATCTCGATTAATAATGGATGTTTTTAGGCAAATTAAGCAACTTTAGTGGTTGGAGAATGTGGAATGGAATTTGTTTTGGTCGCAACCAAGCATCAATGTGAGGTGTATGCTTATTTTGGGGTATATTGTTAGCCAAAATATTGTAGATTAAAATAATTTTATTAAGTACAGTAAAAACAGAACAATCAATCTAAAATTGTAGGAAATAATAAAAAAGCTAATGAACTTTCAAGTCGAGGTATATGTGAACACACAGTGTTCTTTACTGATTCCTCATCGTGCCATAGTTCTCAAACAAACAGTTGACGCTTTATCGAGTTCCTCTCAATCCAAGAGCACCATATCAACAATTTAGTGCATTAAGATCGAAATTATAAAAATTGTTACAAAATTTAGACAATCTGTTACTCGTATTAGATTGGTGTATATTCAACCTCAGTATCAATTAATCTTCTAGTTTGTGTACTCATTTTCACTCCTGCTTTGAGATCTTTTTGAACTACAATGTTGGGGTTTAACTGGAATGCAAATATCTAATCATATAATTCACGCTGCAAGTAGTTAATGAACACAAGATTTACATGGAATAGCCCTCCAGTAAGGTTTTATCAGAGTTTGTCCAAATCTCGAGGTATTGTATCAAACAGGAAAGACAAGGATACCTTTTATCACTTGAGTACATCCAAGCTTGTTTGATACACTGCTTAAGCGCTCATGCTTCATTACAACCTTAATAAACAAATCAACAATGTTAATGTTAGAGTGGATCTTTTCATCTGCATCATTTTTTCAATTATTTTTCATTCAGTTTCTTTTTCTCCGAGTCTGTACCTCTACAAAATTCTTTAGTTCCCGCAGAGCACTTGTCACATTTTTCCATGTTCAAAAAAGTATGAGGTCTAGAGGGGGGGGGGGGTGGGGGGGGGGGGGGGGGGGGGGGGGGGGGGGGGACACAAACCAAGTGACATTTCAGACATGAATTTTATACCTCAGTAAATTTAACAATGAACGAGTATCAAAACCAAAGTAAAAATAAAAATAAAAATAAAGATAAAATTAAATTCATGTCATCACCCACAAATTTATTTAAAAGTAACCATGGTTAATGTCTGTTGTACATATTTCTAGAATTTTTTGAAGTCTAATGTTATTGTGCAACGTAAATCTAAAGTGTATCAATCTTTGAACATGAAGTTGGATGCTTCTGAACTCTTCAAAAAAAGGACGCTTCCGTTCTGTCGGTGCTTGACAAGGTCCATTCCCCCCCGTTTTTTTTTTAGTTCCAACGAATTGATCAAAAATTATAATAAAGGAAATTTAAGTCAATATAATTTATTTGAAATCTCTTTTCTTATAAATTTTATTTTTTATTTCTTAATTATACTCTTCCGTTTATACGAAGCAATGTCTAGGTCAAATAAAGACCCTTTTCAAATTTACATCTCTAAATGCAATCAAAGGTACATAATTTATTTAGTTTTTAAGCAAAACATAATTAGAGTTTAGGCGGGATTTTAGGTCTCCACCTAAAAATCATGCGAGAGTTTCAATTCGCAGTATTGTTTTATTGATTGAAACATAAGTAGAAGTGGGAGGTGACGAGAGTGAAAGACAAATGTAAAATCGTGATTCTATGCTAAAAAAAGTGTACACCTTTAAATTGTTTAGTTGTGAAAATTGCTGAACTTTAATTATTGCATAATTAGTGGTTTCAAACCTAACCATATGTCGTCTGAAAAGAATAACACTAAAACCGATGATTTTAATCCCTACGACCAACATACTCAAGTTACATTTTCCTCGAGTTTTGATGATTCCAAAAGATATTATTATTATTATTATTATTATTATTATTATTATTATTATTATTATTATTATTATTATTATTATTTCATCGGTATGCACAATACAGGTTGAACATTAAAATTTTTTCAGTATAATATTGAGGTCATCATTTCCACAAGACCCACTAGAACACCTTATTATAGTTAGTCACATGGAGAGGGAAAAAATTAAAAGAAAAAAAAATTAAATAGAAAACAAATCATATAGCTTCTATTTAATAATAAAATGTGAAGTTGGATTAAATGGTTTAAAGTTGTTCAAAAAGAATTTTATTTAGTTCAAAATTAATTAGGGGGTCCTCAATTAAGATTGTCATGGATTTTAAAAGTCATTCTAAATTTAGATGTCTTTAATTGAAATTTCAATGAAATCTTTTAAAATTTAGGTATCCTAAAAAATAAGTGAATTTATAAAAATTTTATTAATAGAAGAATTTTAAAAGATTTGAATAGATTTCAAGCTTAAAAATACATATAAGCAAATATTTTGAAAGTTACCATATTTAATGAGATTCTTATGGAATTTGTAAAAATCTATTCAAATCCACAAAATTCATTAGAATTTATAATCTTTTAAAATCCATTAAAATTTTAATTAATAAAACCCCGTAAATGATGACTTTAACTTTCGTTCAGAATTCGAATACGTTAAAATTTTTGAATGTTCGTGAAACATTCATCAACATCATGTGGCATTAAGTCTTTAAATAAACATTCAATTTTTATTTTTATTTTTAACCACATGTTCTTTAAAATTTTACTATTTAAAACTCATTCTTGCTAAAGATGACTATCAAACACGAGCTATATAAACTTGTGAATGTCCTAAGCCTCACGTGGCATTCTTTTTAATATTGACATCTACACGGTCAGATTCCGTTGATTACGTTAACATCTAAACATGGTGAATTGATTTATAATAATATTAAATTTAGTTACTTAATTGATCTTTTTTTTTTTTTTTAAAGATGAGTGACTCAATCGAAACTCCGCATGAAGTTAGGAGGAACTCTTATCAAATTTACCCCTGAAAAAAATAGAAATGTGCTTGTATTGTGACGTTGGTGCAGAGTAGAGTGGAGTGGAGTAGGGCGGAGTGGAGTGGGTAGGTTAGGATGGATAGGGGCGCACGAGAAAGGTGTTTGAGGGATCTATCTCGATTTTGATGGTTGAGGGTCCTCATTGACCAAATGTATTTATCTTGGGGTAATTATTGAAGAAATATGATACACAAATAGGGTTAGGTTTTTTTAACAGGAGTACACGTGTCAATCATCGATTGGACGGTTTGAAAAAAAATAAAAAAGCATCAATCAGCTACTAGCACGCAGTCTTTGTCCCTAAACCATGTCACTTGCCCCTATTTGACAAACATAATACAATACATTATTGAATTATGGGTTCTTAATGGGATGTTTACTAACCTCTTGTTTGAGCTCCATTATAAAGAGAAATTTTGGAAAAATGTATCATAGAATAGTATTTTTTTGGGAGAATGTGTGGTTAAAAAAGAAGAATTTTTTTTATTTACGTATAATATTATTTTATTGAAAAATGTATAATTGTAAAGAAGATATAGAGAAAAATATATTAAAACTTTAAAGAGAGTCAAACAAGAGCAATTTGAAAAGTACACTTATGGTAAATTTAGCCCATATTTGACTAGGATTATAAATTGTTATAAAATTTGTGTAAATTATTTAAAAATAAGTTTGATTAGTCAAAAATCTTTAAAAAATTTACTAAACAAGATCTACCTATAATTAAAGGCAATAAATACTTTCCTTTATGATTGAAGCTCAAACTAATTAAGCTACTTATTTATCGACAAAATAAGACTTAATGCTAAATTAAGTATTTTTAGTTTTTAAAATAAATAAATAAATAAATTATTTACCTGACTTGTAGTAGAGTAGTGAGGGGGTCAGGGATAGGGTGGAGTACAACCAAATGTAAGGTAAGAAATTCAAGGAAACTGAAGAGAAAGACGAAAGTGAAAACAGAAGGCTGTCTGGGAATTTGGCAGTTTCTGATGTTGTCTTTATTCTCTTCATTCTTTAATTTCTTGGTCTTGCTGTGAAATTTTTCTTAATTTGTTTCAACTTTTTATTTGACTTGTGCCACGTGACCCAAGTGCTTCGATAATAGTAAAGCATATTATTCCTTCAAAAATATTTGAGTTTCCACTGAACATGTTTGAGAGTGATTAAATTAAAATTTAAATAATTATATAATATGAATTTCACAAAATAATATTTTTCACACCTTCCTCTTGCAAGCTAGTATTGAGAACGATTTCTGTACAATAAAAACGTAAGCCGGTCTCATTTAAGCAAGAGCCTTGTAAAATCAGGAGAAAGCAGGTGTGATTTTGATTCTTATTTTCATCTTCTTATACCTAGGCACATTGAATCAGATTCGAGTTTCATAAGGACGTAGCCAAGGACAAACCTAAGAAGTTTTTTTCAGTGCCTGCAATATTAAAAAAGATACCAAAAATAACAACATTATAACTCGAACATTATACTAAAATTGGAATACTTGACAATTGTTCATTACAAGTTTTCATACTTTGATAGCTTTGTAAAATCAATTCATTATCATTCTTTAAGAATATATCTTTCTTTACATAAACAACGAGACTATCATTCATCCACTCATCTCCAATCCGATTTCGTAATCTATCTTCACAATGTTCATGGCAGAAAATATACTCTCCATCGTAGTTGTGGCGATCAAAGGAATTAGTGCCAAAGTCAAAACTTATAAACTAGTGGATATACTCTACTCTTATTTGTTAAAACTAATTTCTGTGCGCGAACGCTAAGGTCATTCAATTCTTCAAACTCTTCGTTAGAGGGAATGCCAAAAATGTAGTTATCAAGTTGATCTACTAGTGTGAAGAGATCCATTGTTCAAAAGTCTAGTGGATAAAACTTAGCAAGTTGAATTAACTTTTTTTTTTGTCAAAAGCAGAGAATGAATTTTGTGAACACAGACAAACTACAAAATGAAGCAACTCAGTATTTAACTCCAAAGAATGATCATTCAATTATTGAAGTTGCATATCGATGATAGCATAGAATAAATCTACCCGAAAGTGATGCAAGTTGGTCATTTGCGAAGAATTACGGTGAGGGCAACCACCACATGCATAATGCATAAACATAGTGTAACACACGAATTTTTTCTAATTAGATTTTGATAAAAAGAGATGAAGTATATCGATATTGGATAGGGATAGTAGTTCTTCTAGATTGAATAAAATAATGATAAAGTACAATATTTGTTTTTTGATACACGCGACCTTGGATTTGACTCTATCAAATAAATTTTTTTGGTTTATCAATTGCTCTAGCCTACACCTATATATAGGCATGATGGAAGGGTTTTACATACACAAATCCAAATATTCACTTACGGTAGAAAGAGAGAGAGAGAGAGAGAGAGAGAGAGAGAGAGTAGTGTTGGAAATCTAAAAGTTTGTATACATTATTGTTAATCAATACACTTTCACTGAAGCAGAGAGGTTGAGAAAAGAATTTGGGCACGAGCAATTATATTTTATTTTATTTAGCAAGATAAAATACTTTTGTGCAAGTGTTTTCTTTTCCTTATACTGTTATATTCAATTAAATATGCATGGATTGCCTATGGACCTTCGGGTTCTTTAAAAAGAGATAGATGAAATCCTACGAGGTTGTAAAATGACTTAAAATAGGTGTATCGCTTGGTCACCAATATATTCCATAAAAGCAGAGTGGTATGAAGTGTAAATTTTATTTCTTATATAATTGTGTGTGGAAATTGCATGTATCTTACTGGTTGTTTTTTGAATGCTCACTCTTACAAATTTTTACAGGTTAGTTCAAGTCGATTGGAAATGGTGGTGGGATGGTGATGTGAACTGTCAAGTGAATTTAAGAAAGAAAAAAGAAATTAAACATTTAGTTTATTTTTTTATGTCTCTAAATTTAATAATTAGTTTTATTTATTCAAAAACTCATTTGTTTAATTAGTCCACTAATTGTGTTTAAATTTTGGGCCATGTCACAGCAACAGAGGGGCTGATCGCCCCATGACCGAACCCCAGAAATAGGGAGAGGTCCCATGCTTTTTTTGCGGGCCCTACCCCCATTTGTGGGGCTCCTGCCAGGGAGGCGGTCAACCTTCCTCTTACATGAGCAAAATTCTTAAATTTTTAGAAACTCAGATCTTGCGTTTAAATTGATATTTATATTTGAAAATAAAGAATTCCTTCTATTTGAAACGTTCCACAATTATAAAAGAGAAAATTAAGTTTTTCGTAATACTCTAACATTTATAAATTTTGGGACGTTACAGTATGGTATCAGAGCATGATTTTACTTTCCTATATACTTTTGTTTTTTTAAACCAGAAAAAAAAATTCACGTGAACAATGACAAAAAGAAAAGATGTTTAAAAAAAAAATTGTTTCTTTTATTTTGAAGAATAAATGTTTGTTTAAATTGATTTTGAATAATAGTAGTTTAAAATTTAAATTGTTATGGTTTAAAGTCCATAATTTAAGTTTCACATTTGATAAATTTTTATGTGTTTAACTTTAGCCATTGGTGATGTTTTAAACATGTACCAATTTGAAAATTTACATTTTAAGAGATTTCATGTTTGACTTGTTGTTTAACTTTTGTTGATTTACGTAATTGCAAAATTGAAAGGTTTTATCAAAAAGATCTAAACTGTCTAAGAAGTGTTTAGGTTTTAAGCGGTCTGTCTGTGACTTCCCCTCCTCGTCTGGAAGCCTTTTAGTTGCGCATTATTCAAATCAACGAAACGGAAAAGAATATTTCAAACATTCTAGTTAAAAAGGGGGGGGGGTTCGGAACTTTATTTTGAGAAAATCTTAAATATATGTTTGTCAAAAAAATGTGTTATAAGAATACTTGGCACGTGGC